GGATTTTGATCAGTGCCTCTTGCCCACCCGTGACGGACGAGGCTACTTTAGTGATTTCACTGCTCTTGGCGGCTACTTCTATAGTGGCTTTTCTGTTGTTTTTAATGCATGGAATGGCATTTTCGGAACATAATTACTTTCAGAGAAATATCAACACAAGCAGACAAGATTTCAATCGGAAGCCGTAATGATGTCCAAAAATAAATTAGTTAGGGGGACATGGACACTTTCAAATACCTTAATTGCCCCCGAGATTGATAAGAATTTCAGAAACTAATTTATCTCAGATCATACAATATAAGCAGTTTTTTTTTTTTGTCCCATAGTATACTCGTCCATTGAGGAAGAATAGCAGCTAGAAAAGAATAATATTTCTGTGGATGTGTTTGACTTGATATTGTATATAAGATTTAAATCTCGAAAGCAAGGGCAATGCCTTAATACTCAACAAAACCAGGGGCAAGAGAAATAGTATTTCAAAAAAAATATATTAATATATATTTATAAGATGCCTCCAAAGATGACCTGATCCTTCTTATGTTCTCTCCTAGTGACAAAGGCTGATCACTATCTCTTCTTTTTTACCAGAAATGAAGGAGAATTTCCTGGTTTTTGTCTTCCTCTAAGTTACAAACAAATCCCCAACTTCCATGTTTTTGTTTTTGTTTTGTTTTAAGTGCTAAACAACACATCTTCTACCTAAACAAGGAAGTTGTAAGAGAGAAAGAAAACAAGAAAGTTTGGTGAGCAAAAGAGAAAGAAAGACAAAAAGGGTTAAATCTTCAATAAAAATCCTACTACTTCTTATCGTATTTCTCTCCACTTCAATGTCAAATACCACAGGTGATGGCACTGGCAGCTTCTCTTCTGGGGGTACTGGTGGAGATGAAGTTCACTTAAACTCAAGTGCTGCTGCTGCTGCTGCTAACAGCAATGGCTCCACTATCACTCAACAACCTCCGCTCAAGAGAAAAAGAAATCTTCCAGGAAATCCAGGTATATGTTCACTTCAACCATTTATTATTTCCTTGAAGTAGTTAGAGATGATTAATTTAAAGAAGATAATATGTTTTGTTTTTTGATTTTGAATCTCTTAGTTTTAACTTTGTTCTTGGTTAACTTTTACTGTCTTGTACTATAGCAGTCTTGATGATCTGATGAGTTCTCAGAGCATTGGAGACTTGTTGTTGTTGTTGTACTATATATGAGATTGTTTTTTATAGTTCATAGCTACTTTTTATTTATCTTTTTGGATGATAACAAAAAGGGAAACTGAGTGGCTTATTGCAGATTCAGCTCCTTACAAGAGATCCACACAAAAAAATGGTCTTTTCCCTTTCTTTTTAGGTTTTCTTTATTGGTTTTTTCTTATCTTGGTGGTGGGGAGAGAGGGTTTTTTTTATGGCTATTTGGCTTACAAAAAAATGGAGAATTATTGGGGTGTATAAGTGGTTGATGGGGTTCAATTATTGGCAAGGATCTCAATCATTGCATTGGACTGTTGGTTTGCCTAGCTACCTCCCTTTTCTGTCTTGTTTTTTTTACACTGTTTCAGACAAGGGCAAACATATATTCCTTCATGGAATATCTTTGCTTTCATCACTCTTTCTCTCACTTGGTTTTGTTGCACTCATGTTTCTTGCAGTTAATTTCTCATGTTTATGATTGTCTTATCTGTAATGTCGTCCAAGAATCAAGAATCCAACCAAAAAATACATAGGTTAATCATCGTATGCAGCGTGCCAAGAAACCTGCTAGCTTCCCTTTTTGTGCCTGTTAGTATAGGATTAAACATAGCACTAGTGAAAAACACGATATGAGCAATAATTATGCTTAAGTTAATTCAATTAGTTTGTTGAAAATACTATCCTTCTTCTAATTATTCAGTTTGGTAAAAATATTTTCATCAAGAACTTGGAGTATCCGAAGGAAATTCATGTAAAATTGGCCTTACAGTTTTTTTTTTTTTTTTACAAAACATGAAATATGCGGCAGATCCCAGTGCTGAAGTTATTGCTCTATCACCAAACACTCTTATGGCTACAAATCGATTTGTATGTGAGATTTGCAACAAGGGGTTCCAAAGGGACCAGAATCTTCAATTGCATCGGCGAGGCCATAATCTACCATGGAAGCTAAAGCAAAGAACAACTGCTGAAATCCGAAAAAGGGTTTTTGTTTGTCCAGAACCTTCATGTGTCCATCACAATCCGGCTCGAGCATTAGGTGATCTTACAGGGATTAAGAAGCATTTTTGTCGAAAACATGGAGAAAAGAAGTGGAAATGCGATAAATGCTCAAAGAAATATGCAGTGCAGTCGGATTGGAAAGCTCATGTAAAGACTTGTGGCACCAAGGAATACAAATGTGATTGTGGCACCATATTCTCCAGGTTTATAAACTTTGCATTGATCACTAATTCCCTACTTAATCTTACTTAATTCCCAAAAAAACGAATTAGTCAGAGACTCATACACCAGTACTTACCTGTGCACGAATAATTAAGGATTACAACATTGGTTAATTAATGGTCTCTTGGTTTAGCACATTGATTGGTCATCATGTGGGTCCACATTGTTTTATATATGAATTTAGTTGCTTGTTGAATAATGAGAGATCTATGGCTTGAAAACACTCCTAGCTTTGCTTGAAGTCTTTGTTTGACTATATGCAATTATGAAATCATTATTTCACCCTAAAGTCTTGATCATACCTTAAATTAAACTCTCGTTCGGCTTAATTATTTATCATAAATGTAGTTGCCATGATCGTATTAATATATTTAAAAGACTAATTCAATATTTGCATGACCATAGAGTCTCTCTCGCACAACAATTTCATATGTAAAAATACTTGGTTTCTTTTTTATTACTGATAGCGAAGCTTGACTTAATAGGGTCTGGTTGTTTTACCATGCAGGAGGGATAGTTTCATTACTCATAGGGCTTTCTGCGATGCCCTAGCTGAAGAAAATACCAAAGCAAATCAAGGACTAATCCCCAACATGGAACCAAACTTACAAGGCCAAGTCTCCAACCTCATATCCTCCGGGGCCATCAACAATAATTCAAACCAATCCACCATGATGTCTAGTTTTAACCATCTAGACACTAAGAACCCACTGTCATTACCTCAAGAACTCATGCCGACACCACCTAAACCCTCATCAGGAAGCGTGTTTTCAAATGGAACCGCAGGCCTTTTTGGTGGTTCAAGAAGCATGTCTCCATCCCTTCAGTTGAATGCAAATTCATCAACAATCTTTGAAGGAAACGGCCTTCATAATTTATCTGGCTCGGCATCAATGTCAGCGACAGCATTGTTGCAAAAAGCAGCTCAGATGGGTGCGACTGCAAGTAGTAATGATGTGAGCTCTCCCATGATGCAAAAGAGCTTTGTCACAAGCATGGCACCCCCAACTTTTGGTACAATGCATGCCCAAAATGACCAATCTCATGTGATAGGTGGTGATGATGGATATGCTAACCAGTTTTTCAGTGCGAATGGTGGGGTTGAGAACTCAGTATTGAATGACATGGGGATTTTCAGTGCAGTTTTAGATCAAAACAATTCATTATTTAAGACTATGGAGCATGCTAGAAGCAACAATGAGAATGCTTTTCAAGGTGCAAATTCAAATCCTGGTTTAAGTAGTCCAACAAGTGGAGCCAATCCAAGTGGTTTATCAAGATTTAGCGGGGATGTAATGACAGTTGATTTCTTGGGGTTAGGAGGATCTAGACAAAGGAATCTGCATGAACAACATAATCATCAAGAAATGGAGTTTACTAGAGGAATTAGTCAGCCAAGAATGCAAGGGCTGAACCACTTTGAGCAAGCAGCAGCAGCAGCAGCACTAAAGAAAACCATGTGGGATGTTTGAAAAAGAATATACAAAATTTCTTTTTCTCCTACAGGCTACATCTAGCTACTACTTGTAATGATTTCTATCTTCACTTCTTTAATTAGCTCTCTCTCTCTCTCTCTCTCATCAAGTTACTGGTACAATCAAGGGAAGAACCTCAAGTGTTTCGCTAAAGAGCAGGCAAGGTGTTGAGGATTTTTGGCCCAACATTAGCAACTTTGATATGAGTAGAAGATCAAATAGATTTTCTTTCCAAAACTCTTCTTTATCCTGTGAATTCTGTAAGTTACGGAAACTAATGCCTGGCCTAATTATTATATTTATACTCTAAACATTATTATATTAACAAGGTATAGTAGGTAGGTGCTCCTAACAAAAATAGATATGAATTGGTCTCATCATGGACGTCTAGCTAGAAGAATTAGAAAATTTTTGCTCGGGTCTGAAAATTGAGCTGTAGACACCCACTAATTGGCCTCTGAAATCCCCAGTTACCTGTTCATCACACTTTCATATACACATTCTTTTTTGGATTTAGAAATCACAGCGTCAAAAGAGTAGAATTTGTTAATTTTTAGCCATTAGATTTGAAACTCAAGCTGTTAGCAAGAAAAAAAAATGAAATCCAATGGCTAAAAAACTATAGATGCGTATATAAAAAGGTAGTGACTTTAGTCAAATCCTCGAAGTTAAGGCATCCAATCCAATTGGATAGTTGAATAGGTCAGCAGAACTAGAGCGTGAGCCCAGATCAACTTTTAGACCATCAAATATTCAAATTAAGGGAGCCCACAAAGGGTTTCAGCTTTTTTCCATGACCAGAATAGGTATACTTTATGCATGGACCAGTGCGCCACCACAGGTCCATACTCCATAGCATTTTCCACACATTAGAGGCTGGACCGGGAAATTTGTATGGCTCTGGAGTATTTCCTTGTAAGCATGCAAAATGGAAACCACCAAAAATTTGATGGCTTCATCACTGTCAACGGGCAAGTCCTCCTCCCTCTCCCACTCTCTCCAAGCCTCAACTTGCACCACTCCCAATCAAACAATACCTGGTACGTCCAAAAAGGTGATGGGAACAACCTTAAAAGTTAATGAGAGGTGCTCCACAGCTGGAAAAGCATAGACAATGGCATTGGAGCGTTACTTTCTAGCATGCAAAAATATCTCCATCCTCAAGATTTACATGACTCGAACATCTGGGGATAGGAAAGAGGGTGTTTTCGAGGGGTGCCTAGGCCTCCAGACAATTTGCGCCTTCGGCATTGACATCTCAGAGGCCGCTACTAGTTGGTGTTGGTTCAGCTTCTCTGGTAGCAGATGGTGCAAATTTTGGTGGGATTACAAGTTTTCTTCTCGGGTCATCATTGCCGCAAAGTGGTCGAATTGTTTAGCTTGATTTGCTTTATCAGTTGGAGGGTATAACCGATGGATCGACAAAAATGAAGGATTTGGTTGGGAGGTTCTGTTATATGAATTCGTCACTGAAGCTTTTTTGTTTAACATGATTTCTCGCTTACCTATAAGATTGATGTGTTCTTCTAATACTATGAATGATTTTTTTTTAATGTAATTCATATACCCAGAAACTTAGGTTGGAGATCAAAGGCTACTTTATCGAGCAGCTGAGAAAACGAGAATATGTGAGAGATCATTTAATCCACCTCCACTGATTAGTGGGAAATCTGGTGATTGTCAGCGCAAGAATGTGAATGAACCAGTTGTTGCATTTGGGCCCCCAGGTTCATGAGGTGAAGTCAATGTTCGTGTCCTTGTTTCACCGGTTCCTCTGGGCTCTTTCAACCTATAGATAAGTGATGCTAATATCCAAGCTTTAAAAATTAGAGGTCGCATATTATGCTTTCTAGCAAGCAATAACCTCAATCAGTGTGCAAGGAAGATTCGTCTCTGATTGTGTAGGATTGAAGCATTTGGAGGGCCTAAGGAGGTGGGAGAAACTTTTGTTCGGACAATCATAGGACCACACCCAGACATGAAAGGAACTTTGACAGAATCAAGCTTACGAGAGGATTCTATGAAGGCAGGTTAATTACTACAGGCTGGAATTCAGAGTTGAGAGCCCCACATTTTGGGGGCATAAAGTAGCAGTTCGTTGTGCTCGTGATGGTATACACCCTAAATGCACAAACACCAGAATCAGCATGGCCAATTGTGAAAACAGACTCCTATAGGATCGCAGATTCATTTCAAGGCGGCTAGTCCTGGAGCATTATCAAACGTATTAACAAAGGAACATGAGGTCATACTTTGTGCGATTGGCTTCAAAAGCACACAGGCTATTCTACATTACTGTTGCAACAAGTTAAAGCTTTTGTTTATACTGAATTCATCTGCTGGTTCGGTAAAGAAAAGGCGGAAAACGCTAAGACCAGAGGAGCTTGAATTTCAAGATCATTTATTGAAAAGAGTGAACAGTTTGCAATTCAACAATAGTCAAACAGAAATGACAAAACTAGTTAGCTTTCACTCAAACTTTGCATATTACAACTGCCATGATATGTCAAACACTGAGTCACCAATCATAATGACTAAGATTACATACAAATACATTTATGCATTTAAATTCCCTTCAACATGTCAGCCACCTAGACAAAATAATTTTTCTATATCTAAATTACAATTAATATACACCAATTTAAGAACAACTTATCTGTCTTGGCTTGGCACCTTTCTCCAAGTTCTCAGCAACTGCTGCAGTTAAATTGCGATCCTCGAATCCAATTTCAGCACCAAGTCTGCAAAAAAACTTGTATGATTCTTAATGTTCCCAGTAAAGAGAAAAGGATGGGAGAAGGCAGCCATTCTATAAATGTCCAAGAAACTCCAGAAAAAATACAGCAAGAATCATGCAAGATTGGCTACGAAATAGGTGAGGAATATTAGGGAAAATTTGAGCACACTCCACTGTCTTGTCTCAAACCTTGCTCCAAATGTCAACCCACAAATGGTAATTTCACTTTCATTTGTCTTCAGAAAGATATGAAATTTCAAAACACTGAAAATAAGTAAGCAATATAAAAATTTAAGCTGTTTTGCTTACTTAGGATCGAGCACCAATTTCTGGACTTCTTTAATGGCTGAGCTAGCAGCATAGAGTGACATCTTACCCACCTGTATGAAAACCCAATAGAAGATTAAGAAATTCACTGACAGGAGAACAAAAGAATCGGTGGCTGGATTACAAAAGAACAAGAAAAAAAATAGCAAAAGAATTTCAAGGAAAAAGAAGCATTGAATGTTTTTGAAGAAAGTTTCCAGAGCCTGACCTCCAAAACTTGAAGTTTTGCTTCATGGTCATTTGGAAGACAGCGAATTTCTTCTGCCAATCTAGCAGACACCCCCAGACTTTCAGGAGATAGGAAATCAAGGCCCAACTGAACATTAGACTGCAAATTTACAAGAAGAAAAAAATAAACAATTATAATGCATAATTTTACTTAATTCAAGCACGTAATTTTCAAACCACTAAATATAAAAATCTTTGGTTCAGGAAACTCTTAGTTTTATAAAATTTTGAAAATCAGCAACACTTGACTTTAAAAATTGGGGAAGAAAGAAAGGAAGAAAACCAACTGTACTACTGGCTGTTGGTGGGTGTTGTTTTTTATAGCATGTGCCTTCCCACAAAACTACTTTTTATCACATTGTTCGATGATAAAAATATCCCTAACTTGAAGAGGGCCTAAAACATTCGTTTGTAGAGGAAAGCAGCAGCCCTATCGCAACAACATTAGTTGGAACCCACAATTAAAATCATCTCCTCAAGGATGAACTTTTTTTTCCTTTTTGAGTTTCAATGGATGAGGATGAATTAATTGCAACTTTGGACTTTGGAAACTGGACCAATACTGATTCCAAGAAAAAAAGTGTTAATGGAACTTGATCTCATTAGGGAAAAATCATAGACCATACATTCACACTATCAGTTAACATCCCAATCATTTGAAAATCAAATTAAAAGAAAAAAAAACATGTTTTCATCATTGTAGTCTAAATGTTTTAACATTGTCTTTAAATTAGAAGTTCTGGAGACATGTATTTATCCAACTTCGAAATCTAATTAATCACAAAAAGCTTACCTGAAGATTCCTCGCTTGGAAAGGGCATCCAGCTGGGACGAATACAGCTTGCCCCAAATGTTGTTCAAATGACCATGGTTCAACTCCTGAGGAGAAAAATAATTTTCATCTTAAAAATGCATATAAAGAAAGCAAAATAAAAGGAAATATACAAATTAAGTGCACTCCCCACCATGGCAGTATTCCTGGTGTCTCTTGGGATATGCAAAAGGGGACAAGATCAATTACAGTCAGAGAGAACTAATTAATGGCCGATAAGACTTTTCAACAGTGCAATTCATGGTATTCACCCATTCACAGCATATGAACACACATGCAAATCAAGGAGGAAAGTCAGATGCACCACTACATTAACAAAAAGTAGAAAGGTCTATGAAGACAAAAAAAAAATGGTTAGAAGCTCAGATGCCTCACTATGTTAACAGAAAAACCATAAACAAGCAGGAAGATCAAAGAACTAACTCCTAAATCTGTTCTATTTTAAAAACTACAGAAATGCTAAAGTTACTCACCAAACTCTTCCTTCAACTGTCTCTTATGAAACGCATTTAGGAAAACTTTTCCGTCATAAAGGGGATTTGTGACCTGAGATCCCAGTAATAAGATCATCAGCATGCAAGTTATAGAAGCCATTTGGCTTAACTAAAATATAAGGTAGATTTCCAAAGCTCAGTAGGTGAACCTACAAAATCATTCACTATGTTGTCAGGCTTCCAAAGGTCCTTATAGCATGTTCTCAAATAATCAGTTAACTTTGGAATATCCTGCCGACGAAAGACATCCCAACTAACTCCTGGACAAATCTCTACAGGGATATCTTCACTATCTTTCTTAAACTGCTGATCCTCCATTCCCTCAACCCCTTCCACTCTGGTGGTTTCCATTCTTTCAACCTCTTGAACACCTGTGGTTCTTTCAGTCCCATGATCTTCAATACTAGTGGTATTAGCAGCCTCTTGATCCTCCATTTTCTCATCCTTATCTGTAGCTGTGCTCACTTCATCTTGTATATCATGCCCATCGAGTGATATATCAGGCAACCTTCCCTCATCCAGGCTTTTTTCTGGGTCAATTGAGCTACTCTCCTGGCTTCCTTTTGTCTTTGCTTCGCATGTATGCACCAATAGATACACCTGCATGTGCCTCAGCAATGTCAATCCATATTAATTCCTGTCACCTTGGACAAGTGAAATTGCAGAGAATATAACAAACAACCACTAAATTATCCATGTGGGCTCTCTATACAAGGCATGGCCACAGCAGCACTTAGGCACTGGAAGCCAGCTGAATTTGTAAAATAATTGCTTAGAAAACATGTTAGAAATACAAATAATTTATTTGTGAGAACCATATATATTGAATTGAGGATATCAATGAGATTACGAAGATATCTGTTCTAAAGACACGTCACGTACAATACTTTAATTCAAAGCTTGAATACCATAAATGCTATATTACAAAAGAGGAGCCAGATTTTAAATCTCCAATATGAATTTCAAGAAGGAACAGCAGTACCATGCAAGTTGAAAGTGTTACAATCCCTATGTAATCACAAATAAAACTTACCATGTCACGCGTTTTGAAATGAAGATTGATTACAGAATCACCCACACCGAGCTCCTCATGGCTCCCATAAGATATACAAATTTTGGGTCCTACATCATTCTGCAAAGAGTAATGAGGCAACTTTGCAGCAACATTTAGAACACCCACCCTTGAGTGGATAAATTCAAGGAAAGGCAGTTTACTGATAGATTCAGATCTCTGGTATAATAAGAACTCTTCCAAAGCACTGGGGGAAGGCCAATCCTTCAACTTCAACATCTCTGGTGAACCATTTTCCCTGATTCGTCCCTCTGAGTATCCTTGGATAAACTGATCAAGATCAATGTCAACCTGCCACACAGAAAACCACTTGTCAAGACAATCAAAGAGATTAACACAACATCAAATTATTTACTGACGTTAAGAAGAAAGAAGAGCCATACACCTGATATAAGCAAAAGTTAAGGAAAACACACCTCAGACCAGTGTAAACAATCTATGGCCTTCACCGTTCTGTTTTCACCTTTCTTTTTCTCATCTGATGTTTCCCGGATCCCCTTCCATATGGCCATTGGATCCCAGCTTGATATGGATGAGCTGTCAAATACCTGCTTCACAATAACAGGTTCACCCCTAACCCAGTGTTTTCTAAACTTGTTTATCCCATCAGCTTTTATATCTTCAGATAAGGGGCAATATAAGAAATTATCATCACTGTCCTCTCTGTGAGCATACTGGCGGAGTGTGGAATCATTCAACCCGGATTTCTGTGGGGTGCTAGCATCATAAACCTTACAGCCACTGACCATTTCCTCCACATTTTTCACAAGTTTTGCTGCCCAATTCATCTTGAAAATACGGCTTAGGTTCAATGATGAGTAATTACAACCACCGTGCTCCTTCGGAGGGCATGGAATACTGCCATCATTGTTTGCGTTCCAGCCTTGGTACTTATCTGATAACTTTAGTCTTACTCGTGGTTCTCTCACTGGTTCTAATGGAGTCTCATTGTCTTGACTTCTCCCATCAATCTGATTTTCATCCACTTCATTTTCAACACCATGTTTAGATGCTCCTCGAAGATCTTGACAGCAATGAAGGCACA